CTGTCTCTGGTGAATCCTCTCACCCTCCGCATCTCTGGCCTGTACCCCAATTCTGTATGAATAAATAAATTAAAATCTTAAAAAAAAAATAAAAATAGCATATTGTTTTGACGATTTACTATACTCCATACACATATGGATATGTATATATGTCAGTGTTATAGAAATTAAACCACATGTATATGTGGACACATATACATGCACATTTATATACATATATAAGTTAATGTTGATGACAACACATTTATTTTTTATTCTCTTTTCAAAATTGAGGCTCAGATAGCTAAAGGAACTGATGCAAAGTCAAACAATCCCTATGTGATAGAGTGTTTTTGTTTTTTTTTTAAGATTTATTTATTTATGCATACAAGAACTGGAGTGTAGACCAGAGGTACAGAGGCTGAGAGGATTCACCAAAGACAGAGTGGGTTGCAAAACAGGTGGACCTACTGACATACACTGCTGACAGGAGCAACAGGCAAAACAGGAGAGGTCTGATGTGCCAGATGTGGGTCAGTTCCCTGACCAATGATTGAACTCAGGCTGCAGTGGCTGGTGATAGCTTAACAGCATTGACACTTTAACCCCTGCGTCACCAGGGAGGCCCAAAACAGAATTTGATATCACATGTTTGACTTTTGAATCTGTACTTCTGACAACTATGATGCAAACATTGCAAATCCACTTTACAATATTTTCCATTAATGGCATCAAATACATATGTAGGGCTAAGTCTATTCTGTTTATGCTTCTGATTTCCCTTAATGTATTAAAAGTTTAGAATTCTGAATTCCCAAATCAATGAAATAACACAGAATGGGTAAAAATAGGCAGACTTGATTTTTTTTTTAAGATTTATTTATTTATGCATACAGAACTGGGGTATAAGCCAGAGGTGCAGGGGTGGTGAGCAGATTCACCAGAGACAAAGTGGGGTGCAGAACAGGCCGACTGACAAGTACACTGCTGAGAGGAGTAGCGGGGGGTCAGGAGAGGTCTGCCGGGCCATGTGGGTCACCTCCTGCTCGGGGATCCAACTCATGCTGAAGTGCTTTAGCTTCTTAGTGCTGTGCTTTAACCCACTGTGCCACCAGGGAGGGCCCAGACTTGATTTTTTTAAGGCACAACATAGGTAACTCAAAATATCTTATAGTGCTAAAAATGTACCTGGAATAAAGCAGATGGAAATTTTACTACTCCTGTTCTATAAATGGAAGCCTCTAGCATATAAATAGTTTCACACATGGTTTGTTTTTAGACTATGTCCCCACACTTCGCAAAAGTGGCAGCTAAATTTCAGTGATCTGACATGGCAACAACTAGTATATTAATTTCATGCAAAAACTTCTGGGAAGATTAGTGATAAGAGCTATTTTTCCGTCTCAAAATTAAAAAGCAACTTCTCTTAACTCTAAAGCATTAAGAGTTGTTAATATCATTTCCTAACATTATATCATATTCTTTATCAGCTGCACTATGAATAAGTGATGTCCTCAGATGTTGAACTAAACAACTATTGCTTATGAGGCAGTGCTAGAGCAAATACCTTTTGTGTAGTGTTTGTGTTATTTCCCTACAACCTTTACCCCTTCCAGTTTATATTTAGTTTTTGGTCCTCTGTATAAGCAATAGGTAAAGTGGCTCAAGGTAGAGAATTCATGACCAATGTATGAATAATACACTGTGGACAAAACAAGATTCACACTCATGTTCCCTCAGCAGTGTGTTTCTGGGGGATCTACCCATTCTGCTCCCCACTCTGCCTGTGATGAGTCCTCTCACCCCTGCACCTCTGGCTTGCCCCCCAGTTCTTGCATGCAAAAATTTTTTTAAAAAAAGTTTAGAAGTCTGAATTCCCAAGTCCATAATATAATACAGGAAATCTATACTTCCAAGGTGCCATTCTAGGTAGACAAAAGTATTTCACAACAGGTATCTGACCTGGCTAGAAGAGTTGATGGCTGGCTAAATGAGCTTCGCTTTCTGTCCCTTTGCGATTGGCAATGAACGGTGATATAAGATGTTTTGGATCAATGGACACTGGTGTTAGGTTTAATTTGGAAGACTTCAATAGGGATTGTTGAAATGTATTACTTCAATGTAATATATCAAAGCAGTATTTCATCACTGGTACTAAAAATTTCATTAAACACGAGGTCCTATACCTTAGGAGTTAGAGCACTGGTTTTGTATAAGATTTCATTAAAAGCAGAATATCCAAGCGTATATAAAAGACTAGAGCAAGAAAATGAATTTCAATCCATGAATTCTTCTTGAATGTATGGGCAAATGAATCCAACATGTTAAGAATAATGCTATGACTGTCTTGTGGTGAGTATATATTGCTATAATGCATTGCAATGGCCAATTTTCTATTGATCCCAATATAAACTGCCTTTCCTTCCAATAAACGGGCTACCCACTTTGTGTCAGAGCCAACTGTGATTAGAAACAAATCAATAGTCTATCAACTTTTAAGCTATTGCACTTTTTACAAGTAAGCTTAATTAAAGATGATCTCACATAAATGCAAATAAGCAGGTCAAAGTTTGCCTTATATTTTAATTTTATATTTACAGTTGCTAACTATACTACATAAACTTACCAACTTAAGAAATTAAACA